AGTCGGGGGAGGTGTGTGTATCAGTCACTTCCGTTCACTGTTTCCCTTCCCCTGGCCTTTCTTCTCTCATTTTTTACTACATCTTAATCTATTCTTGGCGCTATAAGGGTATTTTATATGTACACTCTGGTCCTCCTTGAGATTAATCACTAAATCGCATCCATCGCTTACCGCACTGTGCCTCGTGTCCATCCCAGGCGGTCAGAGGACTTACTCTCCCCGCGTTGGGGCCCAAGACTGGGGGAAGGGAAAGAATGAGGGGCGCTTTCTGGAGCCAGTCTGGAGAGGGGTCTTTCTGTTAAAGGGCTCGAGGCCGGGTTTCAGGTTCGGGGTCACCTGAACCCCTTGCGAGAGTTGGGGGTGAGGTCGCTGCGGGCTTCCCGGAGACCTAACACTTGTTGAAGAGGCGACTCCGTCCCTCCCTCCCCGCCAAAGCGAAGGCGTTGCGAAACCGCGGGAGCGAGACCTGGCCGGGCCGAGCGGGCGCTCAGTGACTCTCGCTTGGAGGGTTTTGCGGGAAAAGGTTTGTGCGTGAGTTTGGAAGCGGCATCGCTCCCTTGGGATGCTTTGAGCGTAGAGTCAAACTCCTGAGGAGCCGAGCGCGCTCTGACACATCCGGGGCCGAGGCCGGAAGACTGTGCCAGTCCCGCCAATAAGCAGAAAGTAGGGAGCATGGGGTTGGGCAGCCCCCGCCCCCCGGGGCGCCCGCGGCGGCTCTGCGGGCGCCTTTTCCACAGCCCAAACTAGGGGGGGCGCCAAAAGGCTGGGGGAGGGGGTGGGGGTGGTCCAGAGAAAGGACATTCCCTGCAGGGATGAGGGTTCGTTTTCACCGGGTGGGGCTGGAAATCAAACCGCGAGGAAATCTGCCCCGAGGGGATGCAAGGTAGTGGAGGGCGTGCCATGGGCAAAGTGGCATAGAGCACGGGAGGAAAGAGGCCATGAAAATAACACTTGGACGGCCCGGCGGAGGCCTTGGGGAGGTTCAAGTGTGTGTTTGAGGTGGAGGCCCGAGTCCTGACCCGTCCAGGGAGACCCTCTCCGAACCTCGACGGGGTGGTTAGTCGGGGTTGCAGGCATTAGCATCGTTCAAGCCGCCGGGTTCCGAAAAGGGCGAGAATGTGAGCCCGCCCGCGCCCGGAGGAGGGGAGCTCCCTGCTTCAGGTTCTCAGCACCTTCAGACCCAACAAGATCATCAGTAAGTTTCACTCCCAGCGATATCTCTGCAGACGCACGTCCCGGGAGGACGCTCTCTGATCGCAGCGGGTCCAAAGATGACCCCCAACCGCGCACTTGACAGAAGAGCGCCCCGCCGAGTCGGGGAGGGAAACTGCCCCTCTCGAACATTCCGGGGGTCCGCAGGCCCCGGGGGCACCAGATTTTTGCTCACATGGAGGGCAACTTGCCCCTCCGCAAGGCGGCCTCTCTCGCGTTCAACTTCTCTCCCTCCTCGTCGCCCTGCGCCTCGGTTCCCTCTAGTCTTTCCTCTTTCCCATCCCGCCGCCTGCCCTGGGGTCCAGCCGCGCCCCCTGCCTCCGGCGCCCCGCTGCCTGCCGTGCCCGCCGGCGACTCGGGCACCACCCGCCCCGTCCACCCGGGCCCGCGCCTCCACTTACCTCGGATCCGGTCTCCGCAGACCCCCGGTTGGACATTAACTCCAGGAGCCCCAAGTCCCAGCCAGTACACCCATCCGGGCCGCGGGCAGGAGCGCGGAGCCCCGCCCCACAGGTCAGGGGCGCGACGAGTTCCCAATCCTGGGGCCGCTCCCGGCTGCGAGGGCGCGCGGGAGGGCGCGCGGGAGGCGGCGGCCAAGGTTCCCGCTGCCGCCGCCGCCGCGAGAAGGGCGAAGGATGCCGACAGCTCCCCCGCCGGCCCCCCGCACCCCCAGAGGCCGAGTCCGAGCAGCCGCCGCTGCCTTGGGTCGGGGGGTGACACCGCTGCGAGCGCGGCGCTCTGGGCTGGGGCTGCGCGGGCCCCGGGCGCGGCGTGGCGGCTCAGCGGCGGTGGCCGCGCTCGGCGCCCTTCTCGGGGCGCCGCGCCGGGGTGCACAGGGTGAGCCGGGCTGATGCAGCCGCCGCAGCTGAGGTCTGGCCTGGAAATCCGAACGAGACACCACGTCAACCAGCGCAGGGAGTCGGTTGAAGACATGAGGGCGCCAAGAGCGCAGGCTGGTCCTGGAAAGCTTGGGCCCGGGGGCCGGGGGCCGGGTGGGGGAGGGGAGGCGCGGGGCCCCTGGAGGGGAGGGGTCGGGAGGCGGCGGTGGAAGAGGTAAAAGGAGAGCAGCGAGGAGGCGCCCGAGCTCCCGCGCGGGGGCTCCGGGTGCGAGTGGGCGATTCGAGGCGCCCCTCCCGGGGTGCAGGGCGAGCGCTCAGCGCCTGGAGACGCTGCCGGGCTCGCGCCGCCTCTCCGGGTGGATCCGGAGGCGTGTGCGGAGAGCTGCGCGGTCCCACCGGAGGGGGCAATCCGAACTTGACTGGGGCGTGCGCGCCGGGCTTCGTCCCGCGCAGAAGGAGGGCGCGCTGTCGGGTGGAGGGCTATCCTGCGCGATCCTCCCGCCTGTGAAGGCTGTCCTTCCTCCTCGGTACCTCGCCCTCCGGCTGCTCTGCGGGGCAGAAGGCGGTGGGGAGGAGAGGCGCTGCGGGCCGAGTTCTCCGAGCGCGGCGAGCAGAGGTGTGGAGCAGCCAGCGAGGGGAGCCCAGTGTTTGCCAGGGGACGCTGAGAGCGGGGATGCATTTATAGGGCGCTCACTCCGTGACGTGCCCTCCGGTGGCTGCTCTGATTCGCTTTCCGACCTAAACACACATTAGTTGAGTCCCATACGGGGCCAACACGGTCTCCAAATATCTGCTGGCTGAAGTCAGAGGCTTTGCATATCATGTATTACATGGCAGGCGAGGCAGGAGGCTTCTGAGGCTGGCCGGCTCCTCCGTCCTAGGCTCCATTTCATGCTGTTGAAACCTAACACCAGGCGCGGGGTAGGCACATACATTCAACATCCCAACTCCAGAGGCGCGAGACCACTTGATCGGGAACAGGGCAGGGAGGCTGAGCTAAACTTGCTTTTATCCAGTTTTTCAAAAAAAATGTCGATGGGACCCCTAAGCGGGCACTCCCATGGGGGCTGCGCTCCAGGCGGGGACCAGCTCCCGTCCCCAATCTCCAGGAGACCCTGTAGGCGTGCCTGTTGTTGGTTATTTGCCACCAGAAACAGCGAGAGCCTTCTTTAATAGAGGTCGTGAGGAGGGTAAGTCCTTATACCCTGCACACGGCTCTACCCACAAACAGGGCATGAGGTGAGCTCCACCTGTAAAATAATGGACCATGCCAGGTATGTCTCTGCTAAGCAGAATCCAGCTTTCGGAAGCCACTGGCCCTGGGTTCAGAGGGACCTCCTTGACTTTATTGGCTGGAGCCAGGGAAGGCATACGCAGGCTCAGTTTACATCCACGGACTTCTTTGATGGCTCATCCGGTTGTTGGGGAGTAGATGACCCTTAAGTCGCTGATACAGACCATAGGCAGGGGAACTATGTGGGGGGAAGATCACATATTATTAAACGTGAAAGCCCAAGACCAGCTACTCTGGAGGTTTGTCCGGGAGGCTGGTGTGGGAGGGAAATCGTTCTTGCCGTCGTTCCTGTGGTTTACAGACTCAGTGGAATGGAAGTCGAGTCCTCCAAACACACCGTGGCTGACAGGAGGATGCTCACTGTGTCCTTGGAGAGATTCATGGCAGAAGTGTCGATGGATTTGGAAATGGGAGGGCGGAATGAGCTTAATCCATTGATCCCAGTGTAGCGTGGTTTTCGGAAGGCGGAGGCCACACTCCTGAGTGTTCTGACCCGAATGCTTTCGTTTTCAGGAAGGTTGTCACTGGGGACGGTCATGCCATCCCAGCACCCGCAGGGACTTAGCGCTGCTTCTGTGCCAGGCAAAGTGCTAGCCAGCCCCTGCGGATTGTGCTGTTTGGGGCTGCAAAGAACAGAGCGCCCCGAGTTTACCCCAAGTAACGGGAGTTTGCTGTGGAAGCAAGGCTGACCGGAATCTCCACCACTCAGCCACGTGTCTCCGAAAAGCCTTCCGGAAAGGCCACCCGGCCAGGCCTCACGAAAACTGGATTGAAGTTCAGGAACTGGAAGGTCATTCAGGATACAGATCTGCGCCTGGGTTATCTCGCTGCCCCTAAGCAGCAGGCGCAGTCTGCCTCCGATCCCTCCTCACAGGCTGAGCCGCCAGGTGATCCAGCTCCTCTCTCTCTCTTGCTGTTTCTCTCCGGGTGTCTCTTGGCTTCTGCTACCAACTGCTCAGCTCTCTGTGGATCTCACATTTAAACGCCTGTAGTGGAAGGATCTAATTGGCCCTGCCGGGCACTAACCAGGTGCTAGAGTTGGACTGAGCTTTTGTGTCAGGCCTCCTATGGGTCATGGGACACCCTGTAAGCTCAGCAGACCTTGGTCAGGGCTATCTAATCACCATGTCCACATTGTCCGGTCACCGGGCACAGAGCCTGGCCATCTTTGCTTAAGAAACTTCCGAGGGTTCCTCCTTGCCTTCCTTCCACAGGATTTGTGCCCCCATGGCAGGCACTTGGAGTTTAACACACTTGTGTCTCTTACAAGACTCCGGATGAATAAGATACAGCTCCCGGCTCTTCATAAGCTGACCGTCTGTAAAGAGAGAAAGCCATGTACAGAAGTGAGCGCAGGATGAAATGAGAAATACTCTAATAAAGGTCTGTATGAGCTGCTCAGGGCTAGTCTCCACATGGTCAGCAAAACCCTGGGGAGAGGACAAAATATACCCATGTCTTAGCTCTGAGCCTCAGAGACTAAATGCGAATCTCTTGGGCAGTGGAGCCCAGGGGCTGGTATTTTTAAAACGTTGACACGTCCCCCAGGTTGTTCTATGTAACAACAGAGTTGAGGTGTCAAGTAACTTGTTTTATTTTCAATGACCATGATCACTTTATGATTCTTTTCCAGAGCAAAACAAAAAGATGCACTTATTTTGATAGGTTCTAGGACTGACTGTTCCAAAACAGTAAATTCCCTTGGAAATACTACTAATGATCTTGAAACAGTAATAGAAAGGAACATGGAAAGGTTAATGTAAAGATAAAGCAAATACTGCTAGTTCTGAAAGAACAGTTATGTGCATTTTCACAACATTCCGGTGGCTGTAGAAAAGGGAAAAGGGTCTGAAATGTTCAAGCTCTCCGCCTACAGAGCCCAACATTTAAATGACTGTAATCGATATTGACAAACATCTGCTCAGACCCGCCTTTACAGACAATGAAAAGCAAAGTTTCTCCCAAAGTGATGCCAGGAAGGAAGTATTGGATGTCGTGGGGACAGGGGACGGCCAGATCACAATCTCAAAGCCCCCAGAAGCTGAAAGTTGGGACCGCTGTCGCCCTGTGGCTCCGCCTCCTCTTTTCCTGAGGAAACCAAAGTATGTTTGGTTTGAAAGTGTCCCTCTGCGAAGTCCAGAGAGAACAGCCTGCAGCAGCATTTCTGTTCGGAATACGTAGATGGTCCTGTGATAAAGTAGCAACGCACATCGTCCCCGGACCGCAGCCCTTCATCTGGAAACCCTGCCTGAGAACCGGAAAGAGCCAAGCAAGCCTTGTTCAAGCATTTCATCTCTTCCTTCAGAAAAAAGGGTCAAAACCTTACTCATTTCCCATTTCCCGTTATCTTCGTCTTCCCTGGAATTTGGTGTGGGTCTCTAATGGAGGGTGTCTAAATGATGGGTGCTCTCTGTGCTTGAGGACCTTTGGGTCCTGGGGAAGAGAAAACACACGCATAAAAGGAGAAAAAGTAATACAGGGCTGGGCTGGGAGCCTTGAGTACCTGTTACCATATTACCGCATTTGGAACTCAAATGAGGCCTTGTTTGGGCCGGTAGGCAGAGGGGCGGGTCACGTGGGGGCGTTCCAGGCGAGGTAGAAAATGTCTCTGCAGCCTGCAGGGAGGTGGGGCCGTGGGTCAGCCTGTGCCATTCACAGAGCCCCTCCCGCCTCCCAGTGGGGCTTTGCAGCTGCTTTGCCGATAAGGGCCAGGACCTGGGTCCCTGGACTCCCTCATCACCTGGGTCATGACGGCTGCAACGGAATCCATCACTTGGGCAGGGCAATTTCCTTTTCAAAGTCACCACTTTATTGGGCAGGGATTTGTTTCATGCTCGCTCGCTCTTTAGCAGTCATTTTCACCAGTCATACTATTACTCACAGGGAAAAGATAAATGCGCTCTCCTCAGCACTCCGAGGAAGAGGGAGAAGAGGGGGTGGCTGGTGGCGGACTGCAAGGGCTTCTTTGCAAAGTGGCAGTAAGAGACACATTTTTTTGGAGTCAATTGTTTTCTCGTGAGAAATCGATCCTGACATTGACATGGTAGGTTTATCAGTGGTTTCCAGCAGTTTCTTTTATGAGGATCAGATTGTCTAATTATCCATTCATTTTGTGTTTGGTATTTGACATAACTTTATGAGACTCCCTTTTTTTCCCCCCAGAAAGAAAACTTTAATCCAGTAAGGCGGAAACAACACCAGACTCTGTTGCTATGCAGATGTTCTAGAGGCTGAGATCTGGGATCGGCAAGCTATCTATGAAGGGCAAGCGTTTTCTGCACAAACAGTACATGCTTTTGGCTTTGCAGGCCATACAGTCTCTGTCATAACCACTGAGCTGTACCCTTGCATTGCAAAAGCAGCCATAGATATATAAATGCACGGATGTGGCTGTGC